GGACCGGGGACCGGCAACAGGATTGCAACCCTCGGTGTTGCTCCCGCGCCTCGCTCAGCCAGTGAGCGGGAACCGGTCTGTATGTGGGATCCGAACCCTCGGGCGGGAGCGCCACCGCGCTTCCCAAGCGGCGCACTTATCCAGTGCGCCACCGGGCCGGCCCCTTTTTTCTGTTTCTTAAACACACCAAACTTATTCCTGCCATAGGACCTTTCTAGTAATTGTTCCTTCTGCCTAAAAATATTCTCCCATTAAATCTTTGCATGACGGGTGTTCTTCATTCACGTCTCATTCAGAGTGTCCTTCCCTAACAGACCTATCAGGCTGCTATAGCATGTGTCAGGTACTTGATGGTTTGTGTTTACTCATTTGTTTTTTATCTTCCTTTCCTACTAAAATACAAGCTCCAAGAGATCAGAGACCTTGTTAGTTTTTTCTCTGTTCTATCTCTTGCTTCTAATAAGTAGTTGATGTATGAGTAAAAGATGTTAAAATGGATGGTGAGACTAAGAGATCCTAGGTCTGAGATGGGAAATTATTCCTTAACAAGGTGCTTCAAATCTTGAAAAACAGAAACTGAGGAAACCCATATTTATTTATATAGTAACTTTTGTTACCGTGTGTTTTCTTTTAAATTTCTATGAAAGTAATATATTGACATCATAAAAATAAAATAGTACAGAGGGTTTATAATGCAAAGGAGTAGTCCTCTAATCCTGTCTCTGCTTCCTAAAGGAAACTAATTTTAACTCATTTTGGTTTTAGTTCTGGTAATTATCTTTCTAAATCTGAAGAACATATATATAATGCTGTTTCTTTGTCAATTTAAGACAGTATTTATTAACTCACCAGTAAGGAAGATCAAGATTTAATTAGCTTGGATTTTTTTGTCTTCTTTACATCTTCTTGGCATTTTTGCTAGTTAACATTGTATGTCTTCAAATCTTTAAATAATGTGTGTACTTAAAACTTGTATTTCTTGTTCCCTCAACTTAAAGCATTATCTTTTGACTTCCCACTTGGCTAAGCACCCAAACCTTTCCTTTCTCCTTCCTCCCTACCTTCCACTGTTTGAGGTCAGTCTGCTGTACCTCTAATTTTACATTGTAAAGGTTGCTAATATTTATAGTCTCTTCTGTGACCATATTTAAGTCTTTGTGATTTGACTCTAGGTTGGTTCTAAAAATTGAAACAAAAAATAGCATTGACTTAAAATGACTTCAGTCTGTCTCCTTTCCCCCTTTGTCCTTCTCTGGGTTTGAATCTCTAAATCTGGGTGAGATGTGTAAATCTACAGGGTAACAAAGGCATAGAGTAAGAGCAGTGTCAATCAGGGGAACCCATGCAGAGCTAGAAGTCTTCCGGGAGTTTGGTTCTGTGGGGACCTGGTAGCATCTTTCAGGCAGCAAGTGGTATCTGAGCTGTGCTATGAGGGATGAGAACAATTTAGATTTGTGGAAGGACCGGAGTTAGAAAAAACATGTGGGAAAGTATAGGGATTACCGAGGGTACAGTAGCCAGTTTGGTCAGCAATCACATGAAGCGGGGTAGTGCCTAAAGAAGCTGGAAAGCTGGTTGGGTCAGAATTGTGGAGCAAAATGGATAAGGAGCAGGTTGTTAATCCTTGGATAATTTTACTTTTGACTTTAGCTTCCCAGAATGTTTACTGAGGTAGTCCCTCTGAGGTGGAGTGGTTCAAAGGGTCTCTGGGAAGCGCAACTAAAAGGAAGAATGAGGAGTGAGAGCTGCTGAAAAGAATTTAAAGATGGTAGAACCAGGGTGATATAGTTTGAATGTTTGTTCCTTCCAAAGCTCGTGTTGAAGCTTAACCAACTATATAGTATTTGAAAGGTGGGGCCTTTAAAGGTAACTGGCTTATGAGGGTTATGCCCTCATGAATGGAATAATCCATTCCTGATTAATAGATCAATGGGTTAATGGGTTAATGGGTTATCACAGGATAAGACTGGTGGCTTTATAAGGAAAGGAAGAGAGCATGTTAGTATGCTCTTGCTCTCCTGCCATATGATGCCCCGTGCCATTTTGGAACTCCATAGAGAGTCCCCTCCAGGAAGAAGGCCCTCACCAGATGCACTCCCTCAATCTTGGACTTCCCAGCCTCTAGAACTGTAAGAAATAAATTTCTTTTCTCTATAAATTACCCAGTTTTAGGTATCCTGTTATAAGCAACAAAAAACTGTCTAATACACAGAGCTTCATGATCATTGTAGGATAGAAACTTAGAGCTTCCGGAAATAAAGAAGGAAAGGAGACCTCAAGCCTTAACTATATACAGCTGACTGAGAATCTTTTAGAAGACCCAACAGATTACTCTCAGAATTCAAAAAAGGCCCAGGGATGAGGGATAACAGGTTTTTCCTTAGCTACTATGCTAGGTTGACTACTATCCCCCCCAACATTCAGAACCTGTGAACGTACCTTTTATGGAAACAGGGCCTTTGTAGATATAATCAACGTAAAATAAGGTCATATGGCATGGGCTCTAAGTCCAGTGATTGGCGTTTTTATAAGGAGAAGGAGATTTGGACATATAGTGACACAGACACACACAGAAAGAAGATGGCTGTGTGAAGACAGAGGCAGAGTTAAGTGATGCAGTTATAAGCCAAGGGATGCCAAGAATAGCTCGCAATCACCAGAAGCTAAGAAGAGGCAAGGAAGGATTCTTCCCAAGACCTTTTAGAGGGCAGCTTGGCCTTGCTGACACCCTTGATTTCAGATTTCTAGCCCCCAGAATTGTGAGAGGATAAATTCTTGTTTGTTTTAAGTCGCCAAATTTGTAATTTATTACAGCAGCTCTAGGAAACCAATACCCTGTCAAATAGTCGTTATTTCATTTAACATCTTTTAAACTTAACATCAATTTACAATGCATCTACCTCTGTTTAGTCAATGTGAAAAGATGGAACTGGTCCCTGGCCCCTTGGAGCTTGTAATTAAACTAGTTAATGACTCTTGCTTCTTCTGAGTCTATAAAATATGAAGGCTCTAATAGCCCCTGAGTGTTACCTGTCCATATTACCCCACACTCATAATGACTGAATCTTCAAAAGTAGTTTTCCAATATTTGCTTATAATCTTGCAGAATGGGGAACTCAATTCTCCCTAGACAGTCCCCTCTACCTTTATAGGGTTTGACTGTTAAAAAGTTCTTCAGCATGCTGAAATAAAATCTGGGTCCTGATAACATTTACCTATTGATCCTGGTTTTCCTCTTTGAGGTATCAGAGAGCAAGTTTGATCTCTTTTTCCTAGGAGAGTTTATCACTTATTTGAAAACAATGGCCATTACATCTTTTGATGAACCTTCAGTTCTAGATAGTACTTCTTTCACTGGGAGGCCCTTTTTGATGAGAAAACCCTCTGTGTCCTTAATAACAAAATAATAGTTGTAGCTGGCATTTATAAGCATCCTGCTAAGTGTGTGGCGTAAATTATCTAATTTGATCCGTGCGGAGACTACTACCAACCCTCATTTGATAGACGAGGAAACTGATGGTTAGACAGGATAAGGAATGTGCACAAAGTTGTGCAGCTAGATAAATGTTGGAGCAAGGAATTCTATCAGGTTAGACCCTGTGTTCTGATCCAGCACACTGCACTCCATTGCCAGAGAGCCTGGGATTATCTTGGGAGTACCTTTACCTTGCCATGAGTCTGCTCTTGTCTCTTTGGATGCAGGAAGGATCATCAGAGTGTTCCACCTGTGCAGTACAGGGAACTGCGAGCCTTGCTTGAAGCCATGCTGAACCGATGTGCGGAGTTTTCCCAGACCCCTCTGAGCAGGAGGCCCCTGGTCAGTGTACTGCAGCCTGCTTCTTCTGGAGATCACACTGTAATGTGTTTTTAGAAAGATAATTAGTTCATTGCCTTACCTTTCTATGCCACTTTATAGTTTTTTCATGCACATACACCTATAATGGGATGTTATTTTTTCTCTAACTGCAGAACTGTGAGGCTTAAGGATTACTATCCCATTTTTATAGATGAGGAAACTGAAATCACAGGAGTTAATAATTTTTCTTTAGGGTCCAAAGCTAACAAGTACCTGAGCCTGGGTAGTAAATCCCAGGGTGTTTGTACCCAAGCCTATTGCATACTTTGTCTCTTTATGTCATTCAAGCAGGTATGGTGAATATGCTCACAAAATTATTTAGGGCTAGATTCCTTGACTCTTAGAGAGAATCTGACCAATATGTAATGTGTTGTAATTGTTGGCTTTTAATGGTCCATGAACTTAAGATATCAGGAAAGATACTGTCAGTGTGAATGTTTTGATTATGAAAGATTATGTCTTTGAGGGTTAACTTTGGAAACTAAGCTCGTCACACCTGATGGGGTGGGAATTTTCTTGTGTTTTGGAGCAACTAATATGGACATTACAGCCAGTTGGGCTAATACTCATCAGCCCATGACAGCTTTCTGCGTGTAATAGACCAAGAGCCAGCCCTATGGTTCACAAGGAGACTGGTGGTTAAGGTTTCTTCCTCTACCATTTTTTAAAGGAGCTATTAGATTTGCAAGGATATAGCCAAGATCCCTTGGAAAGTTAGGTATATGTATTGTCAGACTACAGTGTGAGAGGAAGGGCTCTGTAGTCATTCAAGCATAGACTGAAACCCAGAGTAGGAGGGTACTTGTTCGATAGGTTTCTCTCTCTCCTTCCCACCTCAGGGCCATGCCTCCAGTAGAGATTCAGAGAAGGCCATTCTTCGAAGGGGAAAGTTCCTCCTGAGCACTTTGGAAGGATTTAGAAATGCCTGCAGGTAAGGGGCCCTCTTTGTCTGAGCTAATAGTATGGAGGGGTAGAAGGAAGGGATTTAGACAAAGGATGAAGTTCTAGAAGCAACACTTGATTTCTGATGATCTGCTGCATAGCAAAGAGGACTTTGGTTGGGGCAGGATTTGGGGGTGTGTGGTGGTTTGCAGACAGGTAGGGGTAGGAGGTTTCTAAAGATTCCCTTCTGGTGAAATCTTTGCTACTATGCCGTGAGGTTGTGTCTCACCTTTGTTCCTCCCCCTAACTAGCCTAGCACTGTAAATATTCACTGGACGCTCGAAGAATTAATTCAGTTTATATTACACAGTTACGACTCTTTGTTGTAACTGTGTGCCAGGCCTGGTACTAGACAGTGGGGGTAGAAAGAGAAGTCAGAATGGCTCCTGCCCACAAGGAGCTCACAGTTTCTTGTGGAATAGATAGTTTTTTGTATAGATGTGGAATTCGCTAGGTTGTCAAGAATACAGGGAAGGTATTCCAGGTAGAGAGAGCAGTGTATGTAAAGGCAAAGAGATATGAAGCAGCAAATAGCATGGTGTGTTCAGGGAAGTACACGTAGTGAGGTGGAAGAGTCATGTATGGTGTGTGTGGGGGTGCAGGTGGGCAGAAAGCTGGAGAGATAGACAAGGACTACGTCCTCTCCTCATTGAGGTATCTTGAATTTTCTCCAGATCTGATGATGGGGGTACTTTCCCCAGTTCCTGAGTTCAGGCATCCCACTATGAGGGTGCTTCTAACCTTTATGTTGCATAGGCAGTAGTGGACATACTCATACATTGATTTCTCAGGTTGGCTGTGGAATTCCAGAGTGAGCCTTCAGCCCAGGAGAATCCATTTACAGCTCCCAGTGCCGAGAAGGAAGACACCTTGGAGGCTTTCTCAGAATTTCTTCTCAGTGCCAGTGACTGTCTGTGTATCCCCATGGTGATGGTGGGTTCTCCTGAGCCATGGGCAGCAGGAAGCTTGGGGAAGAGAAGAATGTGAGGGCCAGCCAGGCTGAGAGGTGTAAGGTGGCAGCTCCTCAACTGAACCTTCTCAGGGCCTCAGCCATGTTATTCTTACAGCCACCTTTCCTTTGGTTTGAAAAAATAAAGTGTAGTGTTTTGTTATAAAGCTAATAGATGCCCCTTAAGAAAAAGTAGAAAGCAGTAACCATAAAATAATAAATAAGTAATGTTTATGGAGTGATAAGTGCCTTATCTTCATTACTTAATTTAGTCCTCCCAGTGACCCTGGGAGATGGTTGGTGTAATTTTCCCTGATTTATAGATGAGGTTGTCATATTGCTGTGTTTATAAAGCAGGCACATGATGGTTCTGAGAATGAACCTGTGACGGCAGGTTCCCTAGCTTTTCTTGTGTCTTTCTGCTTCATAATGAGCAGTGATGAATGTCAGTGATCCAAGCTTCAATAAGTAACACGTGTGTGTGTTCTGTAAAATGACAGATGGCCACTCTGAAGAGAGACCTGGTCCTGAAGAGCTTTATTCTGAGCGGACTTGAGATTGAGATAGTAGGAGGAGCAGGGCCCAGAGCTGTTGACTGTCTGGGTAACCATGGGTTAGTCCTCTCCTGCTTGAGGTTTGGGCATTCTGTGAGCCTGAAGAGTCCCTGTTAGTTGCAGAAGGGCACCTCCTAAACACCTACTGGGAACAGTAGGTGGCAGCAGGGAGGGAGATTTCCTCTGGCTCTGCAGGAGAGAGTGTCATTTCCTTGAAAAAGTCATTGAGCAGGCACCAGGGTCTGCAGGCAAGTAGCAGTCAGGAGCCCTGGGTTGCAACCCTGACTCACATGCACCAACAATAAGACTTGGGCAACTCACATCAATTACCTCATCTACTCTGGCTTCCTCTTAGATTTATGAAGTGTTAGAGCAAATCGAAAAGTAGATCATAGAATTATTATATTATTCCTGCTTCCAACTTTTCTATATTTTATAGTTTAATGAGCATATGTTACTTTTATAATTTAAAAAAAACACTTTGGTTTAAAAACCAAAGGAAAGGTTTCAACAAGAATGAGGCCACACCTATTTACAGATAGGGAGCTGAGAGCCAGAGAGAGGAGGAGGTGATGGCCCAGGGGCACATGGCAACTTTGTTCAGAGCTTGAATTAGATCTCAGGTTTCTTAACTCTTAATCCAGAGCCCTGTCTACTACATCAGGCTGCCTCATGACACTCAAATGAAATAATAAATGTGAAGGCAGTTTGCAAACTAAATTACAATTACTTTTACTGTAGTAATAGAAACATGAGTGTTAGTCTGCATTATGGTTTAGAAAGCACTTTTTACACATCAGACCTCATTTGTTTCTGGGAGATATGTCTTCTTATTCCTGTTTTGGGATTCTCTTTTGGGAGGCCCAGAGAGGTAAAGTACTTTGCACAGCCTTTTAAGTGGCATATCTAAGCCTTAAATGTAGGTTTGTGACTTCAGCTTCCCTAGTTTTTCTTGTGCCCTTCAAATGTAATGGGTTAGTCTGCTGTTGCTAGGTTTGGTGCCGGTTTTTGCTGATGCATTTTCTTCTTTAGAGGTTCAGTCCTGGTGGACAGTGTTCTCCCTCTTGGTTCTTTGCAGAGGCACTTGGAGCAGGCCACCCACCCAGCCTTGATGGAAGTTTTCCTCTCGATTCTATACAACCTCTTTGTCATCGTACCCCACATGAAGGAGAAGTTCTCCAAGAAACTCGGTAGGCAGCAGGCAAGTGTGGGAGTTGGGAGGCATGCACCTTAGGTAGCTGAGTATATGCTGTGAAATGGATGTTAAGTAGTTGTTCAGAATCTGTATCCATTTCTGCCTAGTGTTGAGTGGAAGGAAATATCATACAGCAATCAAAAGTCATTAAAGGCAGTTCTCAAATTTATTGATACTTCCCTGAGAGGGTCCTAGAGGGTCCAGGTCAGAGCCCACAACACACCCCCTTTCCCATTCCTGTCATACACCATATCCCTCAGACCCAACAACATATTTAGCATCTCTGACTCCTGAGCACTGAATGCCAGAAGTACCCCTCAGTCATTATGACAGCTGAAAAACGTCTCCACATATTTCCAAGTACCTTATACGGGAGTGGTAGCACTCTGTGTGACAGCTACTGTCTAACTATACACTGAAGTTCCTTCCTAAAATTGAGCCCAAGCGGCTCTGGACTCCTTTGGCCTTTTCTAGGTCTTCTTGGATCTTTTTATTTTCTTCACTTACTAGTCACTTTTTCTCTCTCAAATGTAAACCTTCTGTTTCCACTTCTCTGGTTGTCACCCTGTAAATACCTCAGTCTACAGAAGAAGCCAAGGAATTAGAGTCAAAGTCTCCTTTATCTTCCTTAGAAATTGATAGTGATTGTGAGAATGGAAAGAGAGAATAGCCAAAAACAGAAGAGGGAGGAAGGAAAAAGGCAGTAATAATTAATAACTAATAACTAACATTTATTATGTTCTTACTGTGTGTGAGACACTGTTTTAAGTGCTCTACATGTATTGATTCATTTAGTCCTCACAATTTAGGAATTGTGTATTATGATTATCCTCATTCTACTCATGAACAAACTGAACCTCAGAGAGGTTGAGTAACTTGCCCAAGGGCACACTATAAACGGTGTGCCCACGATTCAAACCTAGGGAATTTGGCTCTCAAGCCTGCTTTTTAAATCTCTATGCTATGCTTGCCTCTTATCATTATCATTAATGTCTTTTCTTTTGTTCTTGTCACACGGCATGCAGTAGAATGTTTTGTGCAACAAGGCTACCATGTGGAGATAGCCAGCGCTCAGTTGTGCAGGGCCTTGTTGACTATGTGAGGAATTTGGCCTTATCCTAGGAGCTTTGTTGAGTCTTAAAGAAGGGGAGTGACACACTCAGATTTCTGTTTTAGAACGATCTTTCTTAGAGCAGTGTGGGATATGAGTTAGAGGGAGGCAAGACTGGAGGCAAGTAGTTCAGACTCTTGCATTAACTCAGGTTGGTGGTTGGAACTAAGGTGGTGTTGGGGTGATAGAACAGTTGGATGTAGGGCGTGAGGGAGAGGGAATTGTTCAGAGTAATGCCTTGGATTCTGGCTGTCATCTAGGTGGATGGTGGTGTTTTTTTTTTTTTTGTCCTTTTTGAGACCGACCGCACCGTGCTCAGCCAGTGAGTGCTGTGAGCGCACTGGTCATCCCTATATAGGATCCGAACCCGGGGCGGGAGCGCTGCTGCGCTCCCAGTGCTACACTCTCCCGAGTGCGCCACGGGCTCGGCCCTGGATGGTGGTGTTTTTTTTTTTTTTGTCCTTTTTGAGACCGACCGCACCGTGCTCAGCGATTGAGTGCTGTGAGCGCACTGGTCATCCCTATATAGGATCCGAACCCGGGGCGGGAGCGCTGCTGCGCTCCCAGTGCTACACTCTCCCGAGTGCGCCACGGGCTCGGCCCTGGATGGTGGTGTTTTTATTGAGAGAATGCTCACTGGAGGAAGATTTGGGGAGACAGTAGAAGATGTAATCAGTTTGGGTCAGGGTGAGTGTTAGATGCCTGTGAGATGTCCCAGTGAAGATGTTAGGTGTGTAATTGACTGTGTCTGAAAGCAGGGGAGAGGCATGGTCTTCAGATATAGGTATGGAGGTCTTCAGCATACAGCATTTCATTCATTGAACAAGTATTTATTGGGTACCTGCTACATGCAAGACAATGTCCTAAGGCTAAGGATATAGCAGTGAGCAAAACAAACTTCTGTCCTTGTGGGGCTGACCCCCTAGTGGGGAACAAATGAGATTCTTTAAGGGTAAGTATGTACGATGAGATGATGAAAGGGGCCAAGACAAAATCAAGAGCAACATTTTTAAAGAATTTTTTACTTTTTATTTTAAAACTTATTTATTGAATCAAAATTGATTATACGTATTTTTGGGGTTGAACATTGAGATATGTTGATCAAATCAATATTACTAGCTTATATATTGTTACAAATAATAGTTATTCTTTATGCCCCTTGTCTGTCCCCACCCACTCTACTTCCCCCCTCCCCTCTCTGATAACCCTAGATTTCTTCTCTCCTTCTGAAAGAACAATGGTTATTCTGTTAACCTGTTGCCTAGATGATCTGTCCAATGCTGAGAGGTGTGATCAGGTCCCCCAATATTATCGTAGAGCAGATGCTTCTTCTGACACTCTGAAATGGGCTTTGTGGAGAGACACCTCTTCTTTTCTTTATCTCTGCTGGTGACTGGCCTTGTGTGAATGCACTCCAGTGGTTGAAGGGCCGTCTGTGTGGTGATTGTGGTGTCTAGCTGCTTTTGTGGCAGCCATGGTTATTGTGGTGGCTGTGGTGGGCCACCCATGTGGAGGTGATGTTTTTGGCATGCTCTGTGGCACTGGTGGTGTGCCTGGTTGTGGGGTGTGTCTGGTCCCCTTCTCCATGCCTCTGGTCACCAGGTGGGCCCCAAGCCACTGGTGGGGTGTGCCTGGTTGTGGGAGGGCAGTCCATTCCGCAGCTCCATGCTTCAGGTCACTGGGCAGTCCCTGAGGCACTGGCACGGTGTGCCTGGTTGTGGGAGGGGGATCTGGTCCCCTTCTCTATGCCTTGAGTCCCCGGGCAGGTCCTGATGCCCTGGTGCACTGTGACTGGTTGTGGGAGGGTGGTCTGGTCCCCTTTTCCATATCCTGGGTCCCCGGGCCGGCTCTGAGGTGCTGATGTGGTGTGCCTGGTTGTGGGAGGGGGGCCTGGTCTTCTCTATGCCTTGGGTCACTGGGCAGACCCCGAGGTGCTGGTGCAGTTTGCCTGGATGTGGGAGTGGGGTCTGGTCCCTGGCTCCAAGCTTCCGGTTCCCAGGCAGGCCCCCAGGTGCTGGTGGTATGCCTGGTCCAGAACTAGTTTTTTGTCCTTTGCTTACTTCTATCATGGGGGAGCTTCCTGTGGGAACCAGTACTTGAGCTGTGTGGTTAAGTTAAATTGCCGCTTTGCTTCTGTTTCCCTAGGGAAGGCTTTTTGTGCAGCTCAGGGTTTAATGGTTGATCTTACAGGTACTTCTGGCTCTCCAGAAACCCAGTGGATCTGTGTTGTGTAGAAACTCTGATCTGGGTCTGAGTTTTTTCATCAAAATGCACCCTTTGCAATTCTGCATTCCTGACCAGTCTCCTCTGAGTGGTCCTGCACTGATTTGGGGGCGGATCAGCTGTCCTTGCTGTGTCCCAGTGTTCTCCTGGTGGGCCCATCTCCCAAACTGCCTGTGCTCCAAACACTTCCCATGGGATGGGCCCTGCGCTGGTTCCTTACAATGACTCACTGGCCTCTGAATGGCTCCCTTTTTTCAGTTCTTCTGGCTCCTTGCTCCTGTGTGGGTCCATGGAAACCCTATTAGTGGTCTTGCTGTCCTGGAGGCCACCAAGGTCCTCTTCTCCCCTGCAGCCTCCAAGTAACCCCATCTGAAGGGCACAGCTGTGGCTTCTGCTGGTTCCTGCTCCATGTGTTCATCAGCTCCAGCCTGAAAGCAGCCATGGCCCGAAACACTCAGAGCAGTTTTTTCTTTCTGTCATCATGGTTTCTCCCACCTTCATGAACTGCATAGGTCTCTCCTCCTCTTCCCCTGAGCTCCAGCGGCCCCAGCTTGGCTGATGTTACATTTTTATAGTTATAAATAAATTGGTTGATTTGTGGGAGAGAGTGAAGCCGGGAACCATCTATTCCACCATCTTGACTGGAACAAGAGCAACATTTAATAGTCAGGAGGAGGGGGAAACTCCAAAAGGCACTGGTAAAGAGTAGTGAGTAGTTAGAGGGTAGGAAGAAAACCAGAAGAATATGACACTAAGGAAGCCAAGAGAAGAGAGTTTTGTGGATTAGGAATGTCAGATACATCCCAGAGGTCAAGAAGGGTGAAGATCAAAAAATGTCCTTTGGACTTGGCATCACAGAGGCTGTTGGCCACCTTGGCCAGAGCAGGTTCTGTGAAGTGGTTGCAGTGGATGTGAGACTGCAGTGGGTTGAAGGAAGAGTGAGAGGTGAGGCAGTAGAGCCAAGATAGACAACTCTTGGTAAGTTTAGTGTGAGGGGAAAGTGAGAAATGGGGGTATGACTGGAGGAGAACATGGAGTTAGTTTCTGTGAAGTGGTTGCAGTGGATGTGAGACTGCAGTGGGTTGAAGGAAGAGTGAGAGGTGAGGCAGTAGAGCCAAGATAGACAACTCTTGATAAGTTTAGTGTGAGGGGAAAGTGAGAAATGGGGGTATGACTGGAGGAGAACATGGAGTTAGGAAGAGTTGTTCTACTCCCTAAGATTGGAAACACCTATTCCCAGTAGCTGCTGATAGGAAGGAGCAGAGGAGAGACTTGTTATTAGCCCATATAGGTTGGAATTCTTGCCCCATTCTTTACTTGTTTATTGACATGGGCAAATTAATTTTCTTATCCCCAATGCCCTCAGCTAGAATATGGTGATAATAATGAGAATTTGGTGAGAAAATGTATATAGATTTCCTGAATGACTGTACCCCTCAGCCACTGTAACAACTGACATATACTTCGTTCCTTCTTTCCATCATTCTTCTTGCCTGCCTTACTTCAGGATCCAAAAGGACCCAGTCTTGGGGTCCTGGATGGGATGCAGGAGTGTAGATATCTGGGGGCAGTGAAGGGCAGGGGGCAGCAGATGTATAGAAAGGCTGTGAGATCTACAGGGAGATCTGTGCATCATGAAGACAGAGAGGACAGGATTAGAAGCCAAACCTGGAAGAGGGGGAAAGGAATCAGGCCGGGAGGAGGACAACAGAAATCTGTAGTAGGAGGGTGGAGAAACTCTGGATCCCCAAGACACTGGGCGAAGAGGACCCCTTCCAGAAAGCAAGCTGGGTGCCCCCTCCCTGGGGGAGTCATGGGTTAAATTGTTGCCTCAGAGAGTTACTGTTAATTCCCTGCCAGGTGCTTTAGCTCCAGCATAAAACACAGATTATCTTCAACTCGAGCTAGTGAAGTGGGAGCTCCTGATGTCTTCCTTGTCTAGGATACTTCTTTTACAGGGGCCCAGGGCAGGCAGGACAGAGGTCACTATTGATAGAGAGACTTAGTGGGGAGACTGGGAGGAGGTAGGCAGCGCAGAGGCCTGGGCTAGGGTCATCAACTAGCACAGAAGCTGTTATTGGACCCCTTGTCTGAGAACCAATCCCTTCCCCACAAGCAATTCAAAGGTGGGGATAAAGCAGTGACTACTCCTGTTCTTCTTGAATATGAAATTGGATTATTTTCTACAAAACTGGGAGAAGGGGTAGAAGGAGCAGATGTGCACTTCCTAGGTCCTTGTCAAATATACCAGACTGTAGTGACAGATAATTCAGAAAGGAAGAAGATGAACATTTACTCAGCACTTACTTTGGGCCAAGAACTTGTTAGGTATTCTACATGCATTGACCTTATGTAGCTTTACAGCAGCCTGCAAGGTACAGATATCAAACCTGAGTCTTAGGGAAGTTAAATAACTTTCCAGAGTCACACTACTAGATAGTGGTGGAGCACATTTTGAACCAGGTCTGTGTGATTCTGAAACCAGTGCTCTTTGATACTACTTGGACTTGGGAATCTCTGTAACAAGTCTGCTTTAAACTGCTCTCTGCTTTCTTCCCACTTCTCCTAAGCTGCCTCATCCTTCATACAACTGACCCTGGAGCTGAAGGCCAGGTTCTGCAGTGGCCTGAGGTATGTGTAGTCTCAGGCAAAAGGGGCCAGTGTTTTTCTTGACAAGTGGAAATTTCTGGCTGGTGTGTTTTAATCATAGCACCATGGTGGGGTTGACACAGAGTCAGCATTGCTTAGCAACTGGTGGGATGAGCTGGACATGTTTCTGTAGGTTGTATTTAATCTGGTATGGGAATGCTCTCATTCCAGGTGATACTTGGATAGCTACTTGTCACATCAAAATTGGAAGGGTTCTAGGGCTGGCCCGTGGCTCACTTGGGAGAGCCTTAACACCAAGCCAGGGGTTAAGATCCCCTTATTGGTCATCTTTAAAAAAAAAAAAAAACAATGAATCTCAGAGATTCATTTGTCTAACCCCTCACTTTACAAGTGGGGAAACAGGCCCTTGGAGGTGAAGGGATGCAATGTCTGTCAAGTTCTAGTTGCTGCCAGCAATTCTAAAGGAGAAACTTTCTTGTTCAAAGTAGAGAGGTTGCCACTTCAGTCTCTGTCTTGTTACATTTCTAGAACAGCCTTCCGCACCTTCCCATTTGTGATTTGCCACCTGCCTCTGTATTTACTAGGAAGATTCATTTGTTATGCCCACAGCCTACAAGGCAACTACAGTGCAGTGTGTAGCTCTCTTTCCATATCTTTGAGTTGAACACTCAACATTCAGGATAGAATATGGGCATCTGGAGTCAAAGTCAAAATTTTAGAAGTTTGTAGTACTCCTTGACTACCTATTTTGGGTTCAACAGTTTCCTCTTTTTCTAGTACTCCCCCAGCCCGTTCCTGGCCCAGAAGTACTGTTTTTTTTTTTTTTTTTTTTTTTTTTTTTT